GCATTTTGTTCATTTCGAGAGCATACAGAAAAGTTAATTAAAAGTAGAATTATTTTATGTTGATGCTGTTGTCAAACTTAATTATCTAATAGCGAAAAAGAAAAAAAAAATATCAATTTTAATAAGATTAAGTTGGTAGCTAGAGAGCAGATGAAAATAGGAGCAGCATCAGTGTAGGGTTGGTGTATAACTGCACTGAAATGGTGACATGTTACAGGACTAAAATTACAGAAAACAGGACATATTAGGTAATTAATCATTGTTCTTATTACAGAGTTCTTCTTATCCTTTCTAGGGGGAATAATTCTTGTAAATGTTAACCTCTGAAGGGAAATAATTCTTGTAAATGTTAACCTCTGAAGGGAAATAATTCTTGTAAATGTTAACCTCTGAAGGGAAATAATTCTTGTAAATGTTAACCTCTGAAGGGAAATAATTCTTGTAAATGTTAACCTCTGAAGGGAAATAATTCTTGTTAAATGTTAACCTCTGAAGGGAAATAATTCTTGTAAATGTTAACCTCTGAAGGGAAATAATTCTTGTAAATGTTAACCTCTGAAGGGAAATAATTCTTGTAAATGTTAACCTCTGAAGGGAAATAATTCTTGTAAATGTTAACCTCTTGAAGGTTAACCTCTGAAATAATTCTTGTAAATGTTAACCTCTCTGTAAATGGGGGAAATAATTCTTGTAAATGTTAACCTCTGAAGGGAAATAATTCTTGTAAATGTTAATCTCTGAAGGGAAATAATTCTTGTAAATGTTAACCTCTGAAGGGAAATAATTCTTGTAAATGTTAACTCTGAAGGGAAATAATTCTTGTAAATGTTAACCTCTGAAGGGAAATAATTCTTGTAAATGTTAACCTCTGAAGGGAAATCATTCTTGTAAATGTTAACCTCTGAAGGGAAATAATTCTTGTAAATGTTAACTTGTAATTCTTGTATGTTAACCTCTGAAGGGAAATAATTCTTGTAAATGTTAACCTCTGAAGGGAAATAATTCTTGTAAATGTTAACTCTGTAATTCTTGTTGTTAACCTGTAATTCTTGTAAATGTTAACCTCTGAGGGGAAATAATTCTTGTAAATGTTAACCTCTAAAGGGGAATAATTCTTGTAAATGTTAACTGTAAATGGGGGAAATAATTCTTGTAAATGTTAACCTCTGAAGGGAAATAATTCTTGTAAATGTTAACTTGTAAAGGGGAATTATTTCTTGTTAATTTTAACCTGTAAAGGGGAGTTAATTCTTGTAACTGTTAACCTATAAAGGGGAGTTAATTCTTGTAACTGTTAACCTGTAAAGGGGAGTTAATTCTTGTAACTGTTAACCTGTAAAGGGGAATTAATTCTTGTAACTGTTAAACTGTAAAGTTGAGTTAATTCTTGTAACTGTTAATATGTAAAGGGGAGTTAGTTCTTGTAACTGTTAACCTATAAAGGGGAGTTAATTCTTGTAACTGTTAACCTGTAAAGGGGAGTTAATTCTTGTAACTGTTAACCTGTAAAGGGGAGTTAATTCTTGTAACTGTTAACCTGTAAAGGGGAGTTAATTCTTGTAAATGTTAACCTGAAAAGTTGAGTTAATTCTTGTAACTGTTAATATGTAAAGGGGAGTTAATTCTTGTTACTGTTAATATGTAAAGGGGAGATAATTCTTGTAACTGTTAACCTGTAAAGGGGAGTTAATTCTTTTAACTGTTAATATGTAAAGGGGAGTTAATTCTTGTAACTGTTAACCTGTAAAGGGGAGTTAATTCTTGTAACTGTTAAGCTGTAAAGGGGAGTTAATTCTTGTAACTGTTAACCTGTAAAGGGGAGTTAATTCTTGTAACTGTTAACCTGTAAAGGGGAGTTAATTAGATACCAGTATATAAAACAGAAATGATAAAGGAAATGTGTAATGCTTTTACACATTGTGTTTGTATATACACATAGATTCTTGTACTTAGTGTTTGTATTCCTACAGAAAAACAGTGAATACAGAATTGTACTTTCACAAAAGTTCAAGCAAGTACGCATTTAAAAGTTGTGTATGTTGATTGGTATAGAAATAGATTATATAGAGATAGGAGGAACAACAAACATAAATCCTGTAGCTGATTTGGAACCAATTAGGCTTTCCTTGAATGGTCGAAAAGGGTTAAGAGGTTCTAATGAGCACAAACAGTACAACAAAATGGATTAGTTGAGGCAATCATAAAACCATGACGAGTTTTCAACAGTCACTGGTAGTTGGAGGGACGAGGGTGACAGAAGGAAGAGTAAATACACACAAATTGTTCTTTAGGGACAGTGGTGATGTACCTGGTGATGCTGGAGAGGCTGTATATAAGATAGTTTATGTTTTAGTATTATCATTAGTAACGGCCTACCAAGTTTATGACCAGGAGTTATTGGTGACTTGTTAGGTACAATTGGCTGTCAAGTAGGCACATGGCACCAGAACAGAGGACACTTGTACTTTGGGGTCATACTTCTGCATGGTATCTGAGACATTGCATGTTGGGGTCTGTTGTATACATGGTATCTGAGACAGTACATGATGGGGTCTGTTGTATACATGGTATCTGAGACAGTACATGATGGGGTCTGTTGTATACATGGTATCTGAGACAGTACATGATGGGGTCTGTTGTATACATGGTATCTGAGAGAGTACATGATGGTGTCTGTTGTATGCATGGTATCTGAGACAGTACATGATGGGGTCTGTTGTATACATGGTATCTGAGACAGTACATGATGGGGTCTGTTGTATACATGGTATCTGAGAGAGTACATGATGGTGTCTGTTGTATACATGGTATCTGAGACAGTACATGATGGGGTCTGTTGTATACATGGTATCTGAGACAGTACATGATGGGGTCTGTTGTATACATGGTATCTGAGACAGTACATGATGGGGTCTGTTGTATACATGGTATCTGAGAGAGTACATGATGGTGTCTGTTGTATGCATGGTATCTGAGACAGTACATGATGGGGTCTGTTGTATACATGATATCTGAGACAGTACATGATGGGGTCTGTTGTATACATGGTATCTGAGACAGTACATGTTGGGGTCTGGTGTGTACTGAGACAGTACATGTTGGGGTCTGGTGTGTACATGGTATCTGGGACAATACATGTTGGGGTCTGGGACAGTATCTGAGACAGTACATGTTGGGGTCTGTTGTATACATGGTATCTGAGACAGTACATGTTGGGGTCTGGTGTGTACATGGTATCTGAGACAGTACATGTTGGGGTCTGTTGTATACATGGTATCTGAGACAGTACATGTTGGGGTCTGTTGTATACATGGTATCTGAGACAGTACATGTTGGGGTCTGGTGTGTACATGGTATCTGAGACAGTACATGTTGGGGTCTGTTGTATACATGGTATCTGAGACAGTACATGTTGGGGTCTGTTGTATACATGGTATCTGAGACAGTACATGTTGGGGTCTGTTGTATACATGGTATCTGAGACGGTACGTGATGGGGTCTGTTGTATACATGATATCTGAGACAGTACATGATGGGGTCTGTTGTATACATGGTATCTGAGACAGTACATGTTGGGGTCTGGTGGGGACATTTGATGCTAAATGCTGAAGTATTTGTAGCTTGTAACATTTTTATGTTAGTGCATGGCTTCAGGATCTTCAACTTTCAACCTTATGTATGTTGATACCTTGTGAAAAGATCTTTCACCTTTGACCTTTTGATGTTGATGCCTTTCTAAAGGAATTGGCACTGTTGCTTAGATTGTATTGATGCTGATAAGACATCTGTGTCATTTGTCCTTTTGACATTGACATAACAAATACCAAAGGCGTTTGTATCCTGGTGTACCATTGGTCACTGTATGTTTTATTTGTTGTTATTCATCAATACAGATCTTATCACAACAGTGAGGCAGATTTATACATAATCTAAATGGACAGTGCCCAGAGAAATCCTCCATTTGTAAATATTCCATATCAGATCTTTCCATCTTGTCTTTTTTGATTGTTTGTATGTGACCGTGTTTTCATCGCTCTCCCAGGAACTGAGTACCATAGGTGACATGATGATTCTAATGGCTTTGCAGTCATGCCCGATATTTCCATTACAAACTCGGAGTTTACACAGAAATGTGATACAGAAGAGAGAGTTGGTAGTTAGGTAAAAGCTGATGAAATTCCATGGATCATGACTTTATTGGACCAAGATCTGGCCTAAACAAAACACCACAGGCGAACTAAGTATATCTTACAACATGTATTTTTAATTTACTTAAATGATTTAGATACAGAATCCAGAATCAAAAGCAAGATTACGCACTCTCCAGAATGGCATACACTGCCATCATAAAAGCCAGAAATTGGTCCCAGGAGAATCAGAATGTTGAGATTCGTATTCTAGGACCCACAAGCTGCTATGGATTTTTCGTTTGAAATCTGTATTATAGTTCCGCAGACCTGACAGGTTAAAAAAAGCATGGGCAAAATAGAGGAGAGATTTTCAGCAAGAATGTACATCAATTCAGCATGATAGCAACAATAAATTGATTTGTAAATTATATCCCCAAGTTTATCAGGAGATGAAGGAAGTTTTCCTACTGTGGTTTCAGGAAAACTGTGATTAAGTACGCTTAGCATTCAGACAGTGTGTAAATGTCGAACAATAAAAAGATAGGCAGGAACCATTGTGTCCAATCTTGACATGCTTTGTGAGAATTCTACTATTCTGAATCAATCGGAAATGTTTTTAGAATGCTTGATGCAACAGTTGTTACTTCCCAGCAGATTCTTGTTGTTAAAGATTTCCCATTATTATAGTTGTCTAGTATTCCTTTTAGTGTTTTGTGTGTCTCTAAAATTGTTTCTAATGTTTTTCTCAAATCTATCAGCACCAAATTAAGTAATTACTCAGAGTTATGTATGAGGAAGAATTCATTTTGTCGATTTCATTCTTGTGCTTTTCACTTAAATGCTAAAATTGTTTTCTTGTTTTTTTTTCAGCTGAATTTGAACATTTCCAACCTACCATTGTTCAATGGAAACTTTAAGTGTGCCTTCATCCGAGGGAACACCAGAGTGTTGACTCCTGCCAACCTAACCCACACAACCAACCAGATCACCTGTAACACTCCACCTTCCTACCAAATACCGGAATTTCCACCCGGAGCAGGTAAAAATCTGACACAATAAAATCATCAGTATCATTCATGTGTCCTTCTCAATACGTGAATTTCCACCCGGAGCAGGTAAAAATCTGACACAATCAATTACCAGTCTGTATAATACAGTTGTCCTACCAAATACTGGAATTTCTACCTGAAACTGATTAAAAGTTCTGAGACAGCAGATAATTAGACACACAGTGGAGAAATCTGACCTTATGTTAAAAAACAGCCCCAGCTCTACAGTAGTTTTATTTTCATGCACTAGATTAGCTTTCATTTGTCTCCTGTTGAGATTTGGTTAGACTAGATGATGTGTGACTTTAATGACACTAAAGTGTTTAGTAACAGCTACAGGTGCCCCTCCCCTTCAGTTACAAATAGAACCATCCTTCCCTGTTGATGTCATAGAGCTGGGTGATGTAATTAAGGGATACCAGGTTCATTAGAACATTTCCAGATATTTATTACGAAATTATTTCAAGTAAAAAAATACAAAGTTTTACAACTTCCTTTTCAATCTTCATTTTCACTTCTCCCTTTGGATGTTCGGAAGTGTCTTAGAAGAAAAAAATGCAAAGTACGAATTCTATGAATTATTGGCATGATGCTGAATTTCTTTGTTCAGGTGATTAGTATTTTTTTATTCAAATGTCCCTTGCTTTCATTTTTTGAAATGTCCTTCACATCCACAAAGGTAATGATCTTGATTTTATTTCCCTCACTCAGAGCTGTTCTTAATTATCAAGTGACACACAGAGCAAACATTGGGAATGGTTGATACCAATAGCAAGTTATTGTAACAGTTAGGAAGGGTTAGTGTCCATAGCAACTTATTGTAACAGTTAGGAAAGGGTTGATGTCCATAGCAACTTATTGTAACAGTTGGGAAAGGGTTAGTGTCCATAGCAACTTATTGTAACAGTTAGGAAAGGGTTGATGTCCATAGCAACTTATTGTAACAGTTGGGAAAGAGTTAGTGTCCATAGCAACTAATTGTAACAGTTTGGAAAGGGTTAGTGTCCATAGCAACTTATTGTAACAGTTGGGAAAGGGTTGATGTCCATAGCAACTTATTGTAACAGTTGGGAAAGTTTTAGTGTCCATAGCAACTTATTGTAACAGTTGGGAAAGAGTTAGTGTCCATAGCAACTTATTGTAACAGTTGGGAAAGGGTTAGTGTCCATAGCAACTTATTGTAACAGTTGGGAAAGGGTTAGTGTCCATAGCAACTTATTGTAACAGTTGGGAAAGGGTTAGTGTCCATAGCAACTTATTGTAACAGTTGGGAAAGAATTGATGTCCATAGTAAGTTATTGTAACAGTTTGGAAAGGGTTGATGTCCATAGTAAGTTATTATAATAGTGGGTGAAGTGGTCATAGCCGGTTAATTGATCTGTGGAGAGGAGATATGATAACCGTATCATATGTTAGAGGCAGGCAGGAACATGTAGGATTTTGTTGTAGACTTGTATTTTCAATTAGAACAGCTACAGGTCTATAGTGTAAAGCCTTACATTTCCATGAGGACAACTAGGCTATAAAGTTGTCAATGTAACAGGTGATCCTATTTAACAGTATTCAGTAGTGGTCAGATGAAGGACTTTTTACATGAATGGAACTTTGATGTTATAAATTACACACATCATCTACTCGAGAGAGAGGTGTACTGGAAAGCCAGGGTGTTTTTCTGGATGATTGGTTACTGTTCACACACCATTTACTTCCTCAACATACACCCACTTGTAAACTTTCCAATACGCTGATGATAACAACCCATAAATCTGGTTACCATGCAACTCTTTTGTAGGAGGAGGTAGAATTTCAGTCTTGTGAAGAACTCTTTTGTAACAGGGCTATATGATTTCATTCTCTGCTGAAGCAGGTGTAACCTTTCACCTGTCTGTATTATACTGTTGCTGTTCGTGTGACCTTCGCCCCTTCTGAAGAGTATGACTATTACATTGAGAGCTAGGATCACCCCAGGGACCTCGCACCCTTGAGTGATGGGTGTACTCGCACCCATTATAAACATGATTTGAGATGTAGGTTTAACATGGAATAGGTTCATTTATTTAATCTTTCTGATATTCTCAGATAACTTTAACTGTTATCAGTTTTATATCCATTCTATTTATATTATGTCTGCTCGTAAGTCATTCCTCCAGAAACGCTGGTGTCAGTGAGAATGTTCGGCTGTTTCGGTGTAGACTGTAATATAACACATAACAGGTGTGAAATTTTATTGTTGTACAAGGATGTCATAAAAAATCAAATTAAACAATACTCCAGTTTGAAACCGTGTATACCAGGAAAAGCCTCTACAAGGTTACAACAGCAACCTTCAAATCAAAGAGCCTTTTATGGTAGTGTGCGTGTGAGGTGAGATAGAGATCAGTAGAGTGGGTTATCAGCTTCTACATCTAGCAGTTGTAGAGGATATTGTCCACTTGTCAGGTAGAAATGCAGGTCATGTGACACATGGTCTGCTACCGAATCTGTTAAACCATCTATTGTGTTATACCTGCTGTATAGCCTTTACGGACTGATTTTGTAACATACTGTGATCAAAATCTCTACGCTGTCACAAAAGGCACTAAGATTGTGGGTAGATAACTCTGGATTATATGTTGTTCAAACCAGGATGTTTGAGTGTGACACGGAAATTGATCAGGGTTTTACTGTTGTATTATTCTCAGGTGTTAACTCTTCAGGTGTTCATATCTTGTTAGATATTAAATAGCAATGTTCAGATCATTAAACAAAAGTAGGAAGCATGGAATGATTTAGAACACTATTTAAAGTCTGCTATTTAACGTTTGTAACATTGATACCATGGTAGCACTGACACTACTCTGGCCTGATGACATTATACAGGGTATCTGTGGCCTGATGACATTATACAGGGTATCTGTGGCCTGATGACATTATACAGGGTATCTGTGGCCTGGTGACATTATACAGGGTATCTGTGGCCTGATGTTATTGTATGGGGTATCTGTGGCCTATTGACATTATACAGGGTATCAGTGGCCTGATGACATTGTATGGGGTATCTGTGGCCTGATGACATTATACAGGGTATCTGTGGCCTGGTGACATTATACAGGGTATCTTATACAGGGTATCTGTGGCCTGATGACATTATACAGGGTATCTGTGGCCTGAAGTCATTATACAGAGTATCTGTGGCCTATTGACATTATACAGGGTATGTGTTGCCTGATGTCATTATACAGGGTATCTGTGGCCTGGTGACATTATACAGGGTATCTGTGGCCTGGTGACTTTATAACGGGTATGAGTGGCCTGATGACATTATACAGGGTATCTGTGGCTTAGTGACATTATACAGGGTATCTGTGGCCTGATGTCATTATACCAGGTATCTGTGGCCTAGTGACATTATACAGGGTATCTGGCTTGATGTCATTATACAGGGTATCAGTGGCCTGATGTCATTATACAGGGTATCTTTGGCCTGATGACATTATACAGGGTACCTGTGGCCTGATGACATTATACCAGGTATCTGTGGCCTGATGTCATTATACCGGGTACGTGTGGCCTGGTGACATTATACAGGGTATCTGTGGCCTGATGTCATTATACAGGGTATCTGTGGCCTGGTGACATTATACAGTTTAGGTACCCAGCATTAAAATTGCCAGTAATTCCTTTGTGTTATAGAGCTACATTCCACCATTAATAAATCATTTATCCATTACTTTACCATTAATCAACCAGACATGTTACAGAGGTTGAGATGAATGAAAAAGGCTTATTGTTGGTATGAATAAATACAGGTATAATGACAATATAGACCGTTGATCAGGTGTTATATACCGGCCGGGTCTATACAAGCTTAACACTTTCTGTATCTCTGTCACTTTACAAATGATCATCAGAGTTACAGTCAGTAAACACTGGATCATTATAACATTATAAAATCATCACTGTACAACACTACACACAAGGTCATTCAAGGTCATCACTGGCCAACACTACACACAAGGTCATTCAAGGTCATCACTGGCCAACACTACACACAAGGTCATTCAAGGTCATCACTGGCCAACACTACACACAAGGTCATTCAAGGTCATCACTGGCCAACACTACACACAAGGTCATTCAAGGTCATCACTGGCCAACACTACACACAAGGTCATTCAAGGTCATCACTGGCCAACACTACACACAAGGTCATTCAAGGTCATCACTGGCCAACACTACACACAAGGTCATTCAAGGTCATCACTGGCCAACACTACACACAAGGTCATTTATTGTCATAACTGGCCAACACTACACACAAGGTCATTTAAGGTCATCAGTGGCCAACACTACACACAAGGTCATTTAAGGTCATCACTGGCCAACACTACACACACGGTCATTTAAGGTCATCACTGGCCAACAGTACACACAAAGTCATTAAATGTCATCACTGTCCAATGCTTCACACAAGGTTATTAAATGTCATCACTCACCCAATGGTCATTTAAGGTAATGTCTGCTCACCATCTGACCTAAGGTTATCACTGACCAACACTGGAAAATGCTTTCTCTTCAGACCATTCATGGGAGGGGGAGGAGTGTTGTCTGACAAGGTCATCACTGACCTTAGGTCAGCTGGTGTAAGGTGTTTATAAGGATGAGCGGTGGGTACGTGGAGAAGACTCGTTTATCATTTACACTAATGTGTCAGAGCTGTATATAAAAATTAGAATTAGATTGAGTATTCATGGATTATTCTGATGTGAATATTCATTGACACCCACTCCATCTGTTAATGAAATCTTCATTGTTAGGAAGCGGTACACGCTGATCATTTCTAACTATTGTTTTGTTCCAGAAGTGATAAACTAACACACAGGATATGAATATCATTTGAATTGTCAAAACTTGCCTGAATTTCTCTGTTTATGGTTAATTATGAAAGCGTTGGATTGGTATGATTGTATGAAAGTGTCTGTTGTTCTGTATCTAATATGGCAATAATTATACTATTGATAATCCTGGCATTGTTTATGGTGGCAGACTCCTGTGTCCCCCAACACATACCATATCACTGGTCATGACTGGTTTTCAGACTTGGTTTTCATGTGGTATGATTGCTAATCAGAGATGGTGGATTCTGTCATAAAATATGATAATTGAGGGCTGCTTGTGGCATTGTGCATGTTGCATGTTCACAACACTGTCATGCCAAACTGTCCTACAATCCTCAGATAACTCACAAATCATACATCGTTAAAATATCATTGTGTCAAACAATTTGATCAATGTGTTGTCCTACCTGCAGATCAACAGGAATGAATGAAATGCAAGTTCTGGTTATCCTAATAAAATACGGAATATTTTCTGTTTTTATGGAGATGACTCAGTGACTTTGTATTATCTTTAATGTTATTTGTTCGACAACTTTTCCCTATAAAAAAGGAAAAAAAAGGGAAAAAAACTGATTGGTCATGTTCTTATAGCAAGATTTTTTTTTCTTTTGTAGTATTTGTGTTAAAATACCCAAAATTTGCTTTACATTTTGAAAAGGGTGAAATTTTGCTATTGCTGATTGGGGTTTCGGGGGTGGGGTGTAGGAGTTATACGTGATTAGTGATAGGGTTTGGGGGTGGGGTGTAGGAGTTATGTGTGATTGGTGATGGGGGTTGGGGGTTTGGGGATGGGGTGTAGGACTTGTGTGATTGGTGATGGGGTTTGGGTGTTTGGGGGTGGGGTGTAGGAGTTATGTGTGATTGGTGATGGGGATTGGGTGTTTGGGGGTGGGGTGTAGTGTAGGAGTTATGTGTGATTGGTGATGGGGGTGGGGGTTTGGGGATGGGGTGTAGGACTTGTGTGATTGGTGATGGGGTTTGGGTGTTTGGGGGTGGAGTGTAGGAGTTAAGTGTGATTGGTGATGGGGGTTGGGGGTTTGGGGGTGGGGTGTAGGAGTTATGTGTGATTGGTGATGGGGGTTGGGTGTTTGGGGGTGGGGGTGTAGTGTAGGAGTTGTGTGTGATTGGTGATGGGGTTTGGGTGTTTGGGGGTGTAGTGTAGGAGTTATGTGTGATTGGTGATGGGGGTTGGGGGTTTGGGGGCGGTGTGTAGGAGTTATGGTGAAATGTTAAGTAGATCTGTTTATAAGATTTATAATAGTCATTGTATATCAGACGTACTCCATTATAAGGCAGCTAGACTATAGTTGTATACTGAAAATATCACTCCATTATAAGGCATTTACACCATATTTGTATACTGAAAAATAAGATTTTTTTATAGAGATATGAATAAACCGTTAAAAGCAAATCTCAGGAAGAAAAATGTTGAAAGCCATCATGGTAACAGAAATAGGTTGATATATAATAGATGTGATAAACTGGAGGCTGATCACTGACCACAATGGATGTGATAAACTGGAGGCTGATCACTGACCACAATGGATGTGATAAACTGGAGGCTGATCACTGACCACAATGGATGTGATAAACTGGAGGCTGATCACTGACCACAATGGATGTGTTACGAAGATGTCTGGACTACAACACTTTGGTCATAGCCCTCAACGTAAATATATATTGTCTAATTGTTGGGAGGTCAGAAATGATCAACTTTGTGTAGTCTGAGGTAATTGATGCTGGAGTTAGGCAAATAGATCAGAAGTGATGTAAGCAAATATCAGGAATTCCACTAGGATAGGAATTGATTCTAGAGTTAGGCAAACAGAGGTCAGTCTGTAGAAGCAGACAAATATGAACAATGTACAGGGGTCAGAAGTGATGTGGTTAGGTTGAAATTTATATGGACATGCTAGTCCAGAGTTAGGCAGATATGTTAGATATATTGTCCTTCTGAGAATTGGACCAGCTGACATGTGATGGCTGACTCAGGCCGTGGGGGAAATGATGCCAAAACAGATACAATTGCTGATCACCGATCAATCATTTACGGAATAAAAAGATGTATTTTATTTATCGATTATTAATTTTGGGATGTAGGGAGAATCACCTCAGTGAATTGTGACGCTGAAGCTGGTTTCTCCTAAATCTCCTGATGCTGGGAGTATATGGCTGTAGGTTTGACACGACTCCAGTAAAAGGCATGAGTTTGTACTTGGATGGTATGGAACTGTGTTACTTCAGATGATGGTGTACTGTAACAACTAACCCCTTACCCCACCTTAGGATTTGTCACCTGTAAAAACAAACAACAACATATCAACTGTCATATACTGGTAACTAGGATATACAATACACTCATGTCTCAGTATTTTATTTGATAAGTTTTCACAATCAAGTCAATGTACTGAGAAATAGTGAAAATATTTGCCCCATGAAAAGACCTGTCTAAACCATATAAATGATTTCATTTTACACATGACCCCTAAACAGTTGTATGGCTATCAGAGTGAGCTTTGCACCCTTAGAGTTCTGGTGCTCTTTGAATTCAGTGGCATTTCTAATGGCAAATGGACGCGACAACAAAAAGAATGGAAACTGATTAGAATTGCAGTGTCTTCAGCATAGTAGTTTCCAATAAAATTTAATGGGTAGATTTCCTCTTCTGGCTGGGCAGGTCTTTTTAACAGGACTTTGGATTTTTTCGTGAAATTAATGGCTTCATCTCTTCTTTGTCACAGGGGCGTTTGTGTCGTAATTATCATGTCGGAGACCTCGGTAAATAACGGTCATTGAACACTGCCTGCCTGACTGTGCAGGACTCTTTAGCATCAGCATTGATGATCCAAGCATCCAAGTCATTGCCAGTTCAGGTTAATGATGTAATGCGAATCGTCCCCTCCTTTCCGTTTAGACTGCTTCATTCTATTTGGTCTGTGATAGGTTACAGCCCAGACAGAAACATCTCCAGTTTTGCGACACCCAGGATCTCATGAGAATTCTTTTTCCGTCCATGGTTAGAATGATGATAAAGGACATGTTCATACCCTACTTCTGACATTTTGTGGGGTACGGAGGAGACAATGACATTTTATGACATTAATTAGCCGGAATAAAAATGTTGATGGAAAATGTATAGTCCTGTTTTAGTCAGGCCTTCAATGGCAGTTATAGGTTTACTGTGACAGTCCTTATCGTTTCTGAAAATCATAGGCTATTTTGTCCTATCACAGATGTTTGCATCATGGGTTTTAGAATATGATGCTGGTTGTTGTCAATGGTAACTCAGTACTCTCTCTGAGATCCCCACCAGCACCCTCTATATTGGACGTCACCACTCTGGGTAGTGGTTTTACACCTTATGGGTTCTGTTGTCCTAGGATCCCGACATAGCACCAACATATAATGATACTTTATTTCCTTTCCTTGGTTTGGAAAGATCGTGTTACATATACACAAACCATGCTGTCACTGGAAAGTGTGAACAAGGACACAATATAAAACCATCGTAATAGCCCGGGACACTATCTAGTTTGAATGCAAGATAAAAAGTATCGGAAAACGGGTCTCGTGTTACGCTGAATTCACAGCCGCCATGCTAAGAGTCACAAGGCAATGCATCAGAAATATTATTCATAATTGATTTCATGCAAATGTCAAGATAGAAATACTAAATATTGATGACATTTCAGGAAAAAATGGGTGTTATTCAGATAGGTTAATGTAACTACTCTTGTCAGGTTTAAAGGATGAATGATATTAACACGGAGAGGTAAACCCATCCCATCCTGATGGATGGTTTCACATGTTCGTCAGATCTGCTCTAGTTCGGTAGAGGCTTTTCCAGTCCTCATGACTATGGAAGAGTTCACAAAATTGTTGACCAAGAATAGATGTTTTGCGGTGCTTTAGAATTATGTCTGTATGTCTGTAAATGTTGATAGGGATCAGTTGAATAATCATAACAATACATGTTCAGTTTTAGGCTTGTGACATCACTGACAAGTCCGATGAAATAGCTGTATAATGTAGTTTGGTCCATTATATGGCTTTTCTGTACCTTACATTCTAAATTTATATTGAAAGGTGGTATCACCTTCGTGTCTTTTATACAATATTATACCTGTAGTACATAATGGCTACCTTTTACCATTAAATGATATAAACAGTAAAGGCACATTATTTTGTTACGGTGGTTGAAAAGACATGATAATACTGATGTTTTATTGTCAATACTTGGACAACTGGTTTGGCTTCTATCACTAAAACAAGCCTAGAGCTTCAGACACAGAGTAGATCATGCCCAGTTGGTCACTGCTATTTGAGACCGGATTGGAAGATAGAAAAAGTACTTAAGATTATGTATGATTAAGACTGTGGTATGAAGACCTACTTATGATAAATTAACATTACAATGTAATCAGAGTATAGTCACAAGGTTACACTAACACATTACTTATCTCGGAGTTGTCGTGTGATACAGTCGGGTCATATCATGAGTTTTGTACTTTCTCAATCGTCCTACTTCAGTTAAAATGTGATGGTTAATATTTAGATAGTGTGTTTCATTATCTGCATACAGTAAAAGTCATGATGATGTAGCAAACATAATATATCAGTTCTTTTGCCTTACTTTTTTTACCTGCCAGACTTTTTACCTGCCTTACTTTTACCTGCCCTTTTACCTGCCTTACTTTTACCTGTCATACTTTTACCTGCCTTACTTTTGCCTACCTTACTTTTACCTGCATTACTTTTACCTACCTAACTTTTACCTGCCATACTTTTACCTGCCATACTTTTACCTGCCATGCTTTTAACCTTGTCATTTCTTATTGACCTTGATTTTTGGCCTTGCCATTTTTTCATTGACCTTGACTTTTGATATAATTTCTGATAGACCTTGGCTTTTGGCTTTGTCATTTCATATGACCTTGGCATTTCTCTATTTTGCCTAAGGAGATGCACACAACTAGTTGTGTTTCAGTGAATTACTAAATTTTCTTTATGAAATTGACATGATGTTTCCTGAAGATTACTATGTTTGTATGAAGGTTTTATCTGAAATTGATGACATATTTATTCTTTATTATAGATCATGTGGTCATGCAGTTGTCCGTCCTGATGAATAACACGAAGTTTGTATCGACCAATTTCACAATTTTTGACTGTGAAGTGCATACAAAAGATGCGTAAGTACTCTTCTGTTCTTAAACTTGTCAATCAATATACCATTTCTCATTTCTCAGACAGATACTATCTTTTGGCTTGGTTTTATTGGAACAGAAAGAAAGAACAACTTCCCCCTCCCCAAAAAAAAGAGAAAAATGGATACATGTTATGTTTGCCTTAAAAGTTTTCACATCAAAATGTAGATGGTTACCCAGTAAAGCTTGATGTTTGTGTAGACACGGTTATAGATTTTCATTGTCTCATTTGTAATGTGCAGTGAGTTTAAATTCAACTGTTAAATTAAAGGAAACGCCTTATCCAACCTGGTACTTACAAGTTATGTACTTATTGTTTCTCATCGAAAGTCATTGTATCGTAGCTAATATCAATTTAAGATGTAAAACAAATTCTGTATGAAAAATCAACTGCACCTTTCTTTAAAGCTGGTATTAGGGGCAGATTGCCAAGGAGCTGGTGGTTATATTGTTGTGTATGTATCTCCACTGCCAGGAGAGTTCTAAAATGGCACGGCAATGAGCTTTCATCAGCTCCTGAAAACATACTTTATTTATTAATGTAATGTGCTTGTTTTTCGTGCTTGAGTTTGTAAAACACCCAACACATTAACCACACATAACATCCCCAGTACATGTCTTTGAAGAATTTGATTAGAAAACTGATTCAAAATTCACGAACATCCTGCAGTATAGAACTCAGTTTTTGTTTATCAGATATCAGACTTCTTAAATACAAATAGGAAACTTGTTTCTATTCGCATATTCATGGAGTAATATCAAATTCACAATGACTGCCTCTGGTATTGTCTGTAATCCTTTTATAAATAGTTTCCATAGCGATAGGAGCCCTCTGGTATCTCACTTCCACTCTTCATTGTAAACAAGACTTGAGTGCGATGGACTTTCATTGACTTCAATATATTTTAAATAATGACAGAGTTTATTCATAGAAAAATCACTATCTCTTCTGTGCTTGAATTGTCTGAATATCTAGAGGTAAAAATAGAGGTAGAGTTTTAAGGTTTGATAAAAGGATGGAATTGATAATGTGTTACTCTGGTCCCTTTATATTCATATTAATTTGGAGTCTCCCCTCTAAGACGGGAATATTCTTATCGATTCAATACTGAGGGACTTTTTCAAGCAATATAACATCATACTATCCTAAGTAACATTGATTCTATGACATTCCTGACTGTTAACAAATGGTATTCTTGAGACCATTTCTGAATCCAGGACAGCCATGGTACAAATACATTTTAACACAATAACTGTAGCATGAAAAGGACTTAACATTAGATTAGGACATAAACATAAAACCTCAAGTAAGTGGTGGGCTTATTAGAGAATGATGATGAAGCATATTGGTTGGCATTGAGACTGCCCTAAATATGAAAAATATAAAACTATGGACTAATTACCGGGTGAATGGTGTCTCTGTCATACCAATACATTAATATACAGTAGATGTATAACAGCTAATTGGTGGGTTTATAGAAGGGTAAACACGGTAGTGTACACTATATTTAGATTTCTCTGCCTTTTTTGCTGCCATCTTATGAAACTATCAGCCATGCTCTCAGAATGAACGATTTCAATCACGCGTTTTTTTCTGGTATAATGATATCCTCACAAGTAACTTGTTGACAAATTTATTTGAATTATCATGAGAAGATTCTAATGTTAAGACATCTAAATAAATATCGCAAGAAAATGGAAATTTATACCCAGCATTTTACGTGATTGGTTTGGCAAGAACGATTACAGTACTTCAGTGTTCAAGTTTATCTGTGTGTACAAAAACTCTGAATGGTTTATCATCACTAAATGTGATTGATGTTTTATTTATCTGGAGGGTTGAAACAGTGGCATTACCGCTCCCCAAGTCTGGTTAGTACAGTGTTAGTGTGTCAGGTCAGACAATTAGTGGACATTTCTCATTTTATTTAAATGGATTGAAAAGAAATATTATTTTCTGGTGTGATTTAAAATAAAAGAAAGGAACGATTTTAAGAAAGATTTAAGATTTGGGGTCTGACAAGTAATTTGAATGTGGTCTGTTTTATACAGTCTGTTTGTGAAGAGAGATCAGCATTTGGTAATGATATTTGAGGGTGATTATATTGGGATATTTTATAGGTCGGTTGGTGATGCACATGTTTATAAAACTCACTGTTACAGCTGCAGAGGTTTAACAGAAATGTTTCCTGACTTCAGTAAACCAAATCAAAATTGGTTTTACATACCAGGCCTGTTTATTTAACTGTGGACATTTACATTGAAGATTTTATCTCAAGTAGACTGTTTCAGTGTCAGTAAAAAGAGATTCCCAGGGTTTGTGTTTTCAGTGATCGTGGTGGTATAATGTAATTAAATAAATATGGATACTGTTAGTTATGAGATTATATAACACTTGTACAGCTGTGTGAAGGATATTAACAACAAGTGTCTGATTATTTTGAAACTGCACAGACTGAAGGGGCATGTCAATAAGATGAATACAAAACTACTAGTGACAGGGTTGGGGGGTGGTGGTGTTAATTTCTACAGAAAATGACAATTGATGTTTGTTACCTGTTACAATATTTGTATAGACATAATTCACTAATGAAGTGTATGATTCATGGTCTTAATGCTGCATGAGAGGCATATATTTGTTCAGGTGTGTGAATGACTCACGGGCGGCTCATTCAGTAGGGGAGATAACTCAGAATATCTTTTCATCATGTCAGTTATAATTGATAATTCCAAACTTGAAGGGTAATTATGAATCTGTCATTTTGAATCTCCTTCAAATTGTCCTTTTCATTTTGTTAGAAGACTTCTAGTTTAATAAGCTTTTAATAAGAGAAATATCTTTTGCCTCCCAAGGGAAATAATTAAAAGTTTAGAACATCAAGTTTTAAAATTCAAATTTAATTTGATTGAATGAATTATACACCATTTTAGCGATAAAGTATAATGATGATGAACATTATTATAATTATGACATTTGATATCAGTTCTGGCTATCATTCACACCTGATGACAGATTTACTGCCACTATATCATAATTATCTCCCTTGCATTGTTTGGTAATTGAACATCAAAAACAAAGAAACAAAAACCACTCCAAGTCAGATTTATAGAAACTTTAGCAAAGTGTGATTCTGCTGACTCATTAAAAAAAAGAATTCTACTTCGGATGAAAATTAGTCTTTAATATTTTTTTTATTTGTTTTTATAAATTGTATATGATATTTATATATCTAAGCACAGGGCTTTTTATCCATTTATAAATGCAATGATACCATCAGTTCATAGTGTTTCCAATTTTCGCAGGATCATGCAGCGTTATTATACATGGTTATATTTGGATTATGTTGTTAATGTAATTTTACTTTTATCAGCATCCTTATTCGGGTTACATGTAGCAGATTTAAACTGAACAAAATTCAAGTTGGTTTTTTTTATTGATAGCATAGTTATTAATTCTACTTTATTTCAAGAGGTATAACTGCAAAAACATTGGATTGAAACAGAAGTTTTTTGGTATTAAGAATTATTATTCTAAAACATCCAGATAAAATTGATATATGGGCCCCTGTAGTGTTATAAATGTTGTGGTTATGACATGTTTATCTTTGAGTTACATGTGTTTCTGTGGCGGTGTGAGACTGCCAGTGTTGTGGGACGTTATCCAGCTATGATGTCATTCCTGTCGTACATCTGATCATGTCCAGCAATGTCTGGAGTCTCGGTACCCTGTATGCCAAGTCCTGGCTGGCGGACACTTATCACTTATTTATTGGTCGTAAAACTTCATTTCTCTCCACATTTTGACATCATCTCCAATATTTAAAAGCTTGTCCATACCTTGTCATGACTTCATTGTGGCCATGTAAACTTTGGGAGGAGAAGACAGTCTACCCACTTTTATCTCATTTTACAAGTTTTCATTTATCTCCCGGGATTCCTGAAGAATAAAAAGCAAGCTATCTTCATCAGCATCTTTGCCATAGTGACCAGTCTGATGGTCCAATAACAAGAAGGTGAATCACCCAGCTCTACAAGTACTTACAGGTGACAGGGACTAGTTCAACAAAACTTGTTATCCAATTTTATCTTGAAATGTCTGTTATGTTAGTATTCAAATAGCAGACATAATCCCATCACAGGTCTTGACAGACAAGTCTTTTATTGGTTTTTTTCTACTTTTGTTTCCCTTCTGAATCTTAAAACATAAATAAATATAACAGGACAAAACAGATTTTATGGAAGAAACACTACAGATGGCTCAATTGTTGTGCAGATCAAAACTGAAAAAAGAGAGAAGAAATATCTTTAGTGTGATAATTAAACTCACACACCAAGTTCAGTAGTATAAGTCTGCTCAAGCAAGACTTTTGGCTCATGTGTGTATTGAGCTGATTTTCAAACTGAAAACAGGACAAAGAAATATCAAAGTGTGATTAAGTGGCTTAAACCTACAAATATAGCAGAGACTTAACAGGACTGTAATGTGGACAGATGTAGAAATAGATCAGAGTTGTCACAGATTGGTTTTGGATTTGAGATAATACATGTCTTTTCCAGCAGTCGGTGAACAAGGTTCACCACTCAAGCATTCATCTCTTTTTCCTCCCTGAATCAATGCCAGTAAATTTGTAACAGTGTTTCCTTGTGTTCACTAGACACTTCGTGTCATCTTCATGTTGGATACTTCTTCAAAGATAGTTTTTTACAATTTCAAGGTTAATATTTTTTTTCTATCACTTGGATTTCTTAAGGATTACTCTGGTAAATTGGTATTGGATATAGCTGTTGATCTCATGTCAATGTGGCCAGAATTACTCTGACGCATTCCTGTTACTACCTCTAGCTATAATGGTAAAACATACTGATACAGTGGTGATAGGCAAATTAAAACTGTGAAATGGTAATTTCTACCTTTATTTCAATTTATTTCCTTTTTATAGACAGAATTCTGAGATTGAAACATAATATTAAATAACATGGTCTTT